TAGTGGCACTTAAATTTTTTATGACCGGGTAATTTTATTTGATCGGGCGCCAAATAGCGTAATTGAAGTTTTTAAATTACGCGCAACCGATTTCACGGCAGAAATGAGACTGAATTTAATAATTGAAATATTAAATTAATATAACTTGAATTTAGTTGCAGAAGGCAACAACAACTTGCCTTCTCCTATTGTTCTAGACGCTGACATCAGCACTTGGCATTTTACCGGATGCGCGTGCAGTTGCTTGGTATTAATAATTTAGCTGTTGCGCTAATTCTTTGAATTAGTGCAACTTCGATTGCAAAACAGGAAATGTGAAATAATATTAGTCAGCAATTAAAATTTCACCTGTGGGAATTTTTATTGCGGAGTAAGAATGTAAATATGTAATTTGTTATATAGCAGCGAAAACAAAAGGTAAGCAAGTTATTGTGGTGATTGCCGAAAATATGTAAGTATGTAATGTTATAGCTAAGGCAAAATGAATTAAGTGTTAACTTGCACAGTCGAGCGGGGTCTGCTCACAAATTTCTGCGATTTCCCGAATGGTTTTCCTATTTCAAAATGATTAATAATAAACTCCCTTACTTCAATTGAACTTTTTCCACGCTGTCTACCCATGTTTGAACTTTTCACCTTTTTTCCAAAAAAAAAAAACTACTGAAATGTTATTTTAAGCTATTGCGTTTGATTATATTTTTAAACGAAAACAAACTAATTGTGGGATTCCCCTTTTTAAAATGCCAAGCAACTTTAATATTATCAGATGCCCGACTTCTTTTTTGGCGAAATTTCTAGCATGCCACATGTTAATTTTTTGAAGTAAGGGTATAGGAGACCTATAAACTATTTAATTTGTTTGTTATTGTTTTTTAAATCCTTATAGGATACCCTATAGAAACATAAAAAACCAAAATGCTTAATATCAATTAGTTAAAAAAATATCTAGCTTGAAGTTGCATGTTAATAACAGTGGAATGTATGTCCGAGTTCTTTATTGAGCCACTGTACGTGCAAATCTTTCTCTCTTCGTTTCCTTGTTCATTTTCATCATTCTTGTAGTACCAACCGAACGCAGATGATTGACAGCATTGAAGTCAAAGGAAATCAGCTTTGACAAAAATTTTCCCTTACATATACATATATATACATACAAACATTTTTAAGATTCAATCTTTATTTCAATATTTTACATAAATAATGTACACGCGGGTCCTATGTATGAAGATGCCTAAGTAAAAAAAATGAATATCGGAATCAGAATATTTTTAAATCTGCTGTTGCAGCAATTGAGAAGCGTCCATTCCAGTCAATCTGCTCCATACGCTGAATTTTCCGTACAATATGCAATGAAAAATGAAGTACTTAAATATTCCAAAATATATTTTTACCAAGTTGTACGACATCCTCAAAATGTATTTTTCACTTCTATCTACTACGAAGAAAACGATTAAAAATGGCGTCAGTCAGATAATCCGTTCAACTGCAATCTCTTCCACCTTGCAGAGAATGTATAATAACCAGAAGGACCAGCGCGTGCCGATTGCCAATTCGTTCCTACTTTTTCGTCTACCAGATATACATCAGCGTGTTTTTCACCCAGAAATCTATGAGCGTATTTCACCACAAATTAACAGTGAGCAGGCAGAAATCAGTCTCAAAATAGCAGAATGAGTAAAATTATATGAAAACTGAGAAATTCTGTGTAAAATATGATGAAACTTATGCAAGGTAAATGTTAGCAAATGGTTGTTATCAAAATTTATTTAAACTTATAAATTTTTGTTATTGGCTTTAATAGTTTGAAATTTTATCAAACAATTTCGAATTATAGAATTCATATATTATTTTTTATACCCATTTTTATATTTTACCTTTATTTTTTTTATTAGTGATAATTATGATGAATTAAAAGTAAGAAACAATATCTTAATATTTAATTAAGTTCTATTAAATATTTTTCAGAGAACAATAATAATTAATAAACATTTTCTGCATTTATTTACATACATACATAGTTATTGAGGCAAATATCAGAACTGTAAGAAAATCAAAATTCATCCACGCACGCAAATATATGTACATTTATTACATACATATATACGCACATGAATTCAAATTTACACGTTTGTTTACAAACAAAAGCTTACGCATCCATCAAAAAAAAAAAATCTACGCCATGACAATACTATTATAATGGCCGCAATTTGAAATTAAAACAAAAAAAAAAAAAAACCGAAATACAAAAATTTTAAATTGAACAAATATGAATTTTCAATCGACAATTGTCAAGCGCACTTACGATAGTGCGAACTGAGTTCTATACAATTAGCAAACGAATGTTTAATAAAGAATTGTCCATAAAACACGCAGCCATATTTTAGGCCTTCGTACAACCATCCCTTCCATTAGGTAGCCCAACATGGCTAATTCTGAGACCCCTCCATACCTGCCGGACTTAACGAACCTTTCTTTCACACTTCTTTTCATTTTCCTCTAATTATGTATATATGTATGTATGTAGGTAATTATTAGAAATATTATATTTTAAGTATTAATATACATACATATGTACTCAGAAGAGAAAGATAAACAGAGCAACTTGCTTATGTGTTAGTGTTGCCCGAAATCGTGTGAGTGTATTGGTGAGTTCTTGCAGGGCTTTCTTCCATTCCACAATATAAATAACAATACCAGGGAAGTGAAAAGAGAAAAAATCTTCAAAATATTTTATATATATGATAGGAGAAGAGGGAAAAGTGAAAAATTGCCTTGTAATTTTCAATTAGGATAGGGCTAATATAATATTAAAAGTTCTGCAATAAGTATGGCAAGTTTTACCTTTTAAAAATTTATTAGAAGAAAGTGATGAAGATGCGGGAATAAGCAAGTATTTTTTCTACTTAAAAACCTATTCTATCTTATTTCCCAAAAGTTTCCATATTGTATAAATTCGCATAAGCATCCTCGATTTTTATTTCATTTCTCCCCTTTCTCTTAACATTCAGAAATAAAACATTGAGCTAAGATAGTGGTTAAGTCTCATTCTACTCTACTTCACCTAGTTATTTCTTCATGGGTTGGTTGCTACACTCAAATTTTCATTTTTGTCAAATGTCATCAGATGTTTGAATTAACACCCCAAATAAAGTTTACTTTTCGAAATTCATTTAATTTCCATTCCACTACTTTTCTGGAACATTGTTGATATTTATTTAAACATTAAACAAATAACTTAGTATAATATATAACTATTTATTAGCTCGTGTGATTTCAAGACGTTTTACTTTAATAATCTTATTTCGTTCCTATTGTAATTTGTAAATATCTAGCCAGCGAGTCCAGCTTTTTGCCTACACTTCTGCATTATACCGCGAAGCATGAATTGCTTGCGTGATAATTGACGTACATGTTTCAAGAATGTTTCTAAGTCAATAACATTGCTTCGCAAGGCCTCACCCATATAGTATATTGCATCCTCAAGAGCCGCTTCTTCAGCATATGCATTTAGTAATCTAGTATGAGAACATTAATGAAGCAACCAAATTTTGATTTAATTTCCGCATACTTACTGCCTATATATTGGCGCTGTTGTGGTAACAGCCTCATCTGGATCGATACCTTTATTGTTCTCAAAAGCTTCTAAACATTTCACAAGCTCTTGTTCTTTATCGCGCAAGATACTGACATTTTTTTCAAGTTCCATCTTATTTTTTAATAATGATATAGTTAAATATTTTAAACAATAATTAAGTTAGTGTGGGCTTACTTCTTCTCTGTTAAGCCGTGAAATAACATTATCGATTTTTAAGCTTCCCTCTACCAATTCCTGTTTGGTACGATTCAGGGTTTCAATTTCTGCTTGGTATTGGTTTACTTTTTCTTGAAGACGACGTCGTAATTTGTCTTCTACTGCACTAATAAGTGATGCTTTAATATGTTCCTCTGTTATTGTTCCAGTCGAACTTGGTGTTGAAGAATTCTGTATAAAAAAAAAACAATTGCAAAACCTTTATATTATACACATCATATTCAATGTCATTTTCTTACATAGCATGAATTATAGCCAGGAACTTGTGGGAAATTCATATACGGGGGATAACTTCCTGGCACGGCACTGGCGTTTGCAACAGTCGAATTGCTCCCTGTAGAATAAGATGCATATGGTCCAAAGCTATTTACTGGTGGATAAGGTGGAATCGATCCGCTAGTACCTGCGTTAGCAGAAGGATAAGGGAGATAACCTCCACCTCCAGCTATGGGAAATGCTGCAGTATAAGCCTAATACACATTTACTTTTTGTATAAATTTCAAATAGCTTACCAGCCTGGGAATATGATAGCGGATCTCTCGGTTTTGAAAATACCGGTGGGTGATCCCCAAACGTCAATATCATAACTTGAATTAGAGAAAGTAAATCAGACGTGTGCTGAAATAAAAAAAATGTAAAACCTAAATTAAAAATATAATTGTATTGTCGTTTCACAATACCCACCGGTTGCCAGTCATGAAGGTATGGCAAATAAATTTTTCCATTGTGGTCCACATACATTGACACTTTAATATGCATTGTTGGTGTTGGCTTGACAAAACACATAGGCGCATTATGAGGATGAGTGTCCATTAGCCAAATGCAAATGGGAATGTAGTAAGTATTATCTATTAGTAAAAGAATTTTTGTTGGAACATTAGTATAACACATAAATTATTAAAAAATACTTTTATACACGACAGGTATGGTTCCAGCTAAATTAAATAGTTCTTTTGTGGTGCCATCGTTGAAAACTGTTAAAATACAAATCAACAAATTAATTAAACAAACTTGTAGATATCCGCAGAAGCTAAATCAGAACCTACCAAATTTTTGCAAACTATATCCTAGGGACCGATAAGTGGAAACAACGTCAATAACATCTTTCTTTGTGGCGTTAATATTTTTATACTAAAAAAGAAAAGACTTATATGTTTGTGCATAACGTTATTGCTTCTTTAATATATGCGCACTTTGGTTAACAGCTTCGAAATTTGAGCTTCATCTGCTGCAGGGATCATTTTCGATTATTTTAAAACTTGAGATTAAATTCTACGCCTAAGAAGTTTCCTTTTCTTATTGAAAATTATGACTTAATTCACAAATGACACATTATTTTCCTTTTAACTATATTTTTAATGTTGCCATCACACAAGTTTTAGCTTATCGTAGTTCTTCAACTCTGTGGTGGGATTCTTTAATGTACGATTTTGCTAAGTCTGGGTTTACATGGGTATAATTTTTGTCCTTTGTTATCGGACTTCACTTTTGGTTTCGCCCTTCCCATCAAACTTACTTAATATATTCTAATACACATGGTTGCATATATATATATATATATGTTTAAGACAGCTTTAATCGATGCAAAGTTTTCTGCTACAATAATTAGAAAAAATTAAATAAAAAGAAATTTCAAAATCTAAAGAGACTAACAGGAACACAAAACGTGTGGAACAAGCACAAGCGACAGGGTGCTTCTTCGTAGTCCTCTCCTCTACAAAAGAGCAGTCGAAAAAAGTACCCCAATGTTCTGCCTTTTAAGTATTCTATGATAAAATTGTAGTCTAATCGGGTTCTGACAAGTTTAAATGTCCGATCTCTCATTTTGCAACAATTTCGCAAATACGCCTCGATGATTTCCCAAATCATTCAAGTTGGATCACTGGATTGTTAAATAAAAGTCGCCAAATATGGTATAAGTTCCCAACTGCAAAGAATTCAATAAACGTTTATTTATTACTGAATAAACAAAAATTTGCTTTACTATACGCAACGACTTATTTCACAACCTTCACACTCAACTATTTTTATTTTGCACCTTTTCGTTACCAACGGATTCACTTTGAAACTTACGAGCGTGTGGAGGTGAAATGATGATGTTGAAAGAGATGATAGAAACGCTGAGATTTCTTAGATAAAAATATTTTATGATTTTATATGATGGCTAGTGCTCCCGCAATCTAATAGTATTTCCGATGTTAAAAACCTAACGTTCTCAAGGAACTCCACAATGACCCAAGCAGAGGGCCCAGTCAGATAGTATGGTAGAACGATTCAACTAAATTCTGGAAGATACAAAATGGGAAAAACATTAGCAACGATACTATTTTGTTACGATCTTCGGTTGCCTAGTGACTTAAAGCTTAAAGTAATTGATAATGCGAGAATAATTGTGGAGGAAGCGGCTAAAAAGCTTGGAGGGATACTAGCTATTGTGAGACAGTGAACTCAATTTATAAGTGACAAGTCAAAAGCCAGGTATGATATTTTCGATGAATTCCGATGATTTTAGAGATAGATTGTATAGAGTTGCTATACAGTCCACTACGGAAGAAATGTTTGTGCTTTATTGTAGTTGGGAAGATCCATTTAGATTTTCAAACAGAAACAAAATAAAAGTGTCCACTTGGAAAGGCTGGCACCGCTTGGAGCAGCAGATTAAACTTACATGGAGGGCAGTGTGGTGAAAATGCCATATACGAATGGCACATGAAAAGGAGATGCCAATAATTAAATCACATTCTCGAGCGCGAGTATGAAGTCTGTATATCGTAAGAGCATACAGTTTTTATTCCAGTTTATACAGCTTCAGGACAAACTGGTCGGAAAAAATACGGTCGTAAAAGAACGGCAAGATGTGCGAGGACAAAGTTCATGGGGTTTAAGGATATCTTCGTAACCTTCAAATGAATTGTCCAACTCAAACAACGAATGCCCTTAAGGTAAAAAACTATCCTGTGATGGCACAATTCCTTTCCAGATCCTTAAGCTCCAGCCCGAAAAGACGGCTATTAAAATTACTGGAGCATCCGCTGCATTATTCGTTGCGCTGAAGGCTATGCAGCAGAAATTTTGTAGATAATTCCCGATTGTAAGATGGAAAATTAGGACGCATTAATGCGAGTCGTAGAAAGGCGCTGTGAGGCTAATGTGCTAAATGGAGATAGGCAATCGCATTTAAAATTCCATTGAATCTCTGCAGAAATTTACTTCAGAAATTGAGAGTTTGGTTCATCTGGCTATTGGGTAATTATCTAGTGGGCATCTTGAGAGAATAAAGATCCAGAGTTCCATCAGTGGAATGGAGGACATGTGCACAAAGTGAATAAGTGGTCTTGTGGATAACCCCGCTTTTTCAATTTTCTCTTGAGGGGCAGTATCCTCAAATCCTTATTTTAACCATTTACTGTTTTAATCCTTTGAGATTTATTTAAGATTGTTAAATAAAAGTCACCAAATTTTTTGTACAATTTCTTAATTGTAAAGATTTCAATCAACGATTATTTATTACTCAATAAATCGCAATTTGCTTTACTGTGCACACTTTGACAGTCTTATTAGTTCCTCTCCGGCTTTAGTATGCAATTTTTTTCCCCCATGTTTGCTTGTTATTTCATAATACTAATTACTAGCTTTCGTAACCAGGATTTGAAGGTTTACTCTTGTTCTTTGTTACACCCCGAAAGCTCTATTTTTCCTAGTGAAAATAAAAGTAGAGCCGAAGGAACGACGCCTTTGGCGTTGATTTAAGTAATACGGCTCCTTCTTGATAAATTAGCACTTTTTACTATAAAGTAATTGTCTAGATATTCCTTATGGGTTTTACCCAATACGATGTTTGCTCTTAAGGTAGAGTGTTGAGAACAATTCCGTTCCAGTCAACGAGTCCAGGCTCTCGTCTATCCTTGGCAAGGGATTTCTGTGTTTCTTTGTCACATAATTTAGTATACGCGGGTTAGGCAAAACTGTATTTGGCCCCCTTTTTTCTTCATAATTACTACCGGCGAACTACATGGACTTGACAATGGTTCAATTAACATATTGACAATAGAGTGTTTCACAATCTTGATCCTGCCTATTTTTTTTACCATTCTTGTTAAACTTCAAACTCTTCTATATATACATGCATTTATGCCTTTCTCCATGCCAATCTCTACACTTGATACTCGAACTGGAACTCTTTCGCGCCTTAGCCAAGGCTTTACTAATAAGCACTTCCAGTGCAGAATATTGCGCAGCTTCAATTTCAATTAAATTTTTTCCATAATAAGATATAACAATACAACAATAAATTCTTTTTAAAAAATCTGGCTAGTAGTCGTATTGACATCAACCCAATATTGAATTGTGAAAACGATATTGCGGCAACCATGGCAACTCCAAAAAGTAAAAAGCCTACTACGTGCCCAAAAATTTTAACAAATACAGAGTAAGTTACGGTTTTAGCAGCAGAGAGGAAGCTGAAAAGTGCACTGAAACAAGCAGAAGATCACAATACCAAGGAATACATAGAAAAACTAGTGCCAAAAAAATACTCACTGTGGAAAGCGCAAAATAAATTTAAGCCTTTAATAGAAATGAATATGACAAATGGTAACTGGACACGTAGTAATGAAGAATAGGCAAATTGCTTTTCAAAGCATTTAAGTAATGTATTCCATCCAAATGACGCAACTAATAATTGTTTTCTGCCGGAATTTGCTATTAACGGCCAGGAAAATCAGGTGACAATTAAAATATCAAACCTGGAAGTGGTAAACGCGATACAGAAACTGAATCCAGAGAAATCTCCAGGCCACGACCTCATTACATCTAAAATGCTAATAGAGCTACCATGAGTTGCACAAGCATTGCTCTCTGAACTCTTTAATGCCATTCTAAAATTAAATGACTTTCCAAACGCGTGGAAAAAGTCGCAGATATTAATGATAGCCAAACCAGGCAAAGACCACACATAGGCGGCGTCTTACAGACCAATAAGCCTACTACCCAGTCTTTCCAAATTATTTGAAAAAATTCTGCTATCAAAAATATTTCCTTTCCTCCACCGTAACAATTTGATACCAGATCACCAATTCGGTTTTCGTGAAAAGCATAGTACTATCGAACAAGTTAACCGAATAACTATTGAAATCTGAAAGGCATTTGAGCTCAAGGAGTACTGTTGTAGCACAAGCGTTCGACAAAGCCTGGTATAAAGGTTTTCTGTACAAAATACATAAAGCTCTGCCTGTTCAATTCCATATGATACTTAAGTCATATCTGACTAACAGACAATTTACCATTAAACAATATGAATTTATCAGTGAGGAGTATCCAGTAAAAGCTGGTGTTCCGCAGGATAGCGTCCTCGGGCCCATTTTATATATCATATACACGGCAGACATCCCTTTAAGCCGAAAAGTGCAGACATCTACCTTTGCGGATGACACAGCTATTTTATGCCGGGATAAATGCCCTAAAAGAGCGTCAAAAACGATTAGTGATCATTTACTCCTCATCAAAGAATGGCTAAAAAACTGGAGAATTAAAGTTAATGAACAAAAGTTTAAGCACGTCACATTTACTTTAAGACTTCAATCATGTCCTGCAATTCGCTTAAATGGTATAAACATTCCCTAAGTAAATGATGTTACATATCTCGGTATACACTTAGATACAGGTCTCACTTGGAAGAGACACATAGCGGTAAAAATACTACACATGCAATTGAAAGCAGCTAGTTTAAATTGGCTTTTAAATAAAAACTCCGGTCTAAAACTAGACTACAAAGTCCTCATTTACAACGCAGTATTAAAGCCAATTTGGATGTTTTCAACTGTGCAACTAATATCGATAAAATACAGCTTATTTTATAGCAGATCCAGTAAATAAATGAATTCTGTATAAAAAAAAAAAATGCGTTGGTAAGTCAGCTCCTCAGCTCTACGAACGCCTCCTTCATAATGGCGACTCTTTTGAGGTTTGCAGACGTCTAAGTAAAATAAAAAATTAATATTCGTTATACTCGAAAATAAGAACAAAGTAAATCGGATAATCCGTTCAACGGCATTCTTTTTCAATTTGTATGTACTCAGAAGAGAAAGAGAAACAAATGAACTTGCATATTTGTTAGTGCTGCCCGAAATCGTGGGAGTGTGTTGGTGAACCCATCGGCCCGTTCTTGCAGGAATGTCTGTCCCACAATCTTTTTCAACAGCTTCTATTCGCTGTCTTCTAGGACTACTCGCTTTCTACTTTGTAAACCATCAAATCAAGTGCTTACCTTATCTACAATCTGAGCACAAGCTCATAAGCTTGTGTAAAACCGCCACGTTCTCCATTGTGCCTTACTTCTCTTACAACTTCGGTGTCCTCACCAATTGCCGTCCAATTTCCGTTTTCTATCTGTTGCGAAATCGGA